CTCTCTACCTGCTGTTCTCAAACCTGCTGTTCTAAAACCTGCCTCTCTCTACCTGCCTCTTTCTACCTGTTGCTCTCTACCTGCTGTTCTAAAAGTTGTCCCTCTCAATCTGCTGTTTTCTACCTGCTGCTTTCTACCTGCTGCTCTCTACCTGCTGCTCTAAAACCTGCTGCTGTCTACCTGCTGCTCTCTACCTGCTGTTCTCTACATTGATTCGCCTAATATTGAGTTTGTTATGTTCCGCCTCCTTCAGGGCGTGTTGCATTTTCAGGAGGCAAAGTATGACCACCTCCAGGATGATGAGCGACAGTGTGCCATATGCAGGACCACCTGCTACCTTTCTGCTGTCACCTGTCCCTGCAGCCCTGGAGTCCTGGTCTGCCTGTACCACATCAATGGCCTCTGCTCCTGCCCGCTCTCCAACTACACTCTGAAGTAGGTTTAACTGGAACTTACGCTACAGATGACGATGAGCATATGAACGTGCTGAATACATTTTGACAGATTCCATAGAATAGTCCAAGGCGCTCCGGGAGATTAAAAGAACTGAAGAGTTCCCATAAAACAAGCTCTCTGAGAGTTTTCTGCTCACATCCTTTCTGCATTAAGATATTCTTAAGTGACAGAACCAATCAGCACAATGTAGATGAATTCAAATCATGCTCAAAGTCCTCTACAAAACATAGACTTAATAAATAGTAGTATTAATATATCCATCATCTTGAACAAGAAATGAGTGATGTAAAGCATCACTGTAACTGATGTTACTGGTATAACTAAAATGAGTGACGTAAAGCTGCTGGAGTCAAAGTGACAATATTAAAATAATAATGTGTTTAAAAGCTTTTTTTGTTGCATTTTACCACGAGTTAGCCTCTTTGTTTGCTTCAGTAAACCAAAGAGGGGTGATAAAAGAGCAGATTTAGAGCTTCAGACTAGCTGATTTTAATAGTAAAAGGTGACAGTATGTTTGTTATTGATAACATATACAGGTCCTTCTAAAAAAATTAGCATATTGTGATAAAGGTCATTATTTTCCATAATGTAATGATAAAAATGAAACTTTCATACATTTCAGATTCATTGCACACCAACTGAAATATTTCAGGTCTTTAATTGTTTTAATACTGATGATTATGGCATACAGCTCATGAAAACCCAAAATGCCTGTCCCAAAAAAATAGCATATTTCATCCCACCAATGAAAGACAAGTGTTTTTAATACAAAAACGCCAACCTTCAAATAATCATGTTCAGTTATGCACTCAATACTTGGTCGGGAATCCTTTTGCATGAATGACTGCTTCATTGCGGCGTGGCATGGAGGCAATCAGCCTGTGGCACTGCTGAGGTGTTATGGAGGCCCAGGATGCTTCGATAGCAGCCTTAAGCTCATCCAGAGTGTTGGGTCTTGTGTCTCTCAACTTTCTCTTCACAATATCCCACAGGTTCTCTATGGGGTTCAGGTCAGGAGAGTTGGCAGGCCAATTGAGCACAGTAATACCATGGTCAGTAAACCATTTACCAGTGGTTTTGGCACTGTGAGCAGGTGCCAGGTCGTGCTGAAAAATGAAATCTTCATCTCCATAAAGCTTTTCAGCAGATGGAAGCATGAAGTGCTCCAAAATCTCCTGATAGCTAGCTGCATTGACCCTGCGCTTGATAAAACACAGTGGACCAACACCAGCAGCTGACATGACACCCCAGACCATCACTGACTGTGGGTGCTTCACACTGGACATTTTGGCATTTCCTTCTCCTCAGTCTTCCTCCAGACTCTGGCACCTTGATTTCTGAATGACATGCAAAATTTGCTTTCATCCGAAAAAAAGTACTTTGGACCACTGAGCAACAGTCCAGTGCTGCTTCTCTGTAGCCCAGGTCAGGTGCTTCTGCCGCTGTTTCTGGTTCAAAAGTGGCTTGACCTGGGGAATGCAGCACCTGTAGCCCATTTCCTGCACACGCCTGTGCACGGTGGCTCTGGATGTTTCTACTCCAGACTCAGTCCACTGCTTCCGCAGGTCCCCCAAGGTCTGGAATCGGCCCTTCTCCACAATCCTCCTCAGGGTCCGGTCACCTCTTCTCGTTGTGCAGCGTTTTCTGCCACACTTTTCCCTTCCCACAGACTTCCCACTGAGGTGCCTTGATACAGCACTCTGGGAACAGCCTATTCATTCAGCAATTTCTTTCTGTGTCTTACCCTCTTGCTTGAGGGTGTCAATGATGGCCTTCTGGACAGCAGTCAGGTCGGCAGTCTTACCCATGATTGCGGTTTTGAGTAATGAACAAGGCTGGGAGTTTTTAAAAGCCTCAGGAATCTTTTGCAGGTGTTTAGAGTTACGTCGTTGATTCATATGGTTAGGTTAATAGCTTGTTTAGAGAAACTTTTCATGATATGCTAATTTTTTGGGACAGGCATTTTGGGTTTTCATGAGCTGTATGCCATAATCATCAGTATTAAAACAATTAAAGACCTGAAATATTTCAGTTGGTGTGCAATGAATCTGAAATATATGAAAGTTTCATTTTTATCATTACATTATGAAAAATAATGACCTTTATCACAATATGCTAATTTTTTGAGAAGGACCTGTATATATATATATATATATATATATATATATATATAAACATGCAGTCAGGTGTGTGAAAGTAAGATGTTACTTTTACTTTTGCTAAAGTATGGTTTTTACTGTTTTAGAGTAATTTTAAACTAACTCCATCCATCCATCTTTACCCGCTTATTCCTTTTCGGGTCACTGGTGCCCTTGCCCAGCAGTCGCTGTGAGAGAGGTGGGGTACACCCTGGACAGGTCTGCAGTCCATCACAAGGACACATAGAGACAAACAAGACAAACAACCATTCACTCTCTCACTCACACCTAGGGACAATTTAGAGTTACCAATCAGTCTAACATGTTTTTGGTCTGTGGGAGAAAACCCACGCAGCACGGAGAGAGCATGCCAACTCCATCCAGAAAGGTCCCGGCCGAGATTCGATCCAGTGAACTTCTTGCTGAGTGGCAACAGCTCTACCAACTGATGTATCGTGACACCCAATTTTGAACTATACTGAGATTATGTCAATCTATCCATCACCTTCCGCTCGCTCCGAAGTCAGGTCTCTGGGCAGCAGCTTGAGCAGGGAGGTCCAGTCATCTCTTTGCACAGCCACCTCTTCCAGCTCTTCTGGGAGAGCTCCAAGGTGTTCCTAAGCCAATCGAGAGATGTAGTCTCTCGAGCGTGTCCTGGGTCTGCCCTGGGGTCTCCTCAACCACCTCAACTGGCTCCTTTCGATGTAGAGGAGCAGCAGTTCTACTCCAAGTCCCTCCTAATAACTGAACTTCTCACCCTATCTCTAAGAGAGAGTCCAGCTACTCTACAGAGGAAACTCATTTCAACCGCCTGTATCCACAATCTAATTTTTTTGGTCACTACCCACAGCTCTTGGCCATAAGTGAGTGTAGGAGCTTAGACAGACAGGTAAACAGAGAGCTTTGTCTTACAGCTCAGCTCCCTCTTCACCACAATGGACCGGCACAGAGTCTGCAATACTGCATACGCTGCACCAATCCGTCTGTCAATCTCACGCTCCATTCTTCCCTCACTCGTGAACAAAACCCCAAGATACTTGAACTTCTGCACTTGAGGCAGAACCTCACCCTCGACCTGAAGAGAGCAATCCACCCTTTTCTTACTGAGGACCATGACCTCAGATTTGAAGGTGCTGATTATCATCCCAGCTGCTTCACACTCGGCTGTGAACCACTCCAGTGAGAGCTGAAGATCACGGCACGATGACGCTAACAAGACCACACCATCTGCAAAGAGCAGAGATGGAATCCTGAGGCCACTTAACTGGACACCCTCCGCCAGCTGGCTGCACTGAGAAATACTTTTCATAAAAGTTACGAACAGAATCTGTGACAACGGGCAGCCCTGGCGGAGTCCAACTCCCACCATGAAGGGGTCCGACTTACTACCGGCAATGCGACTCAAACTCTCGCACCCCTTGAAAAGGGACCAAATAGCCTGTAGCAATGGGCCCCCAATCCCATACTCGCGGAGCACCCCCCATAGTGTACCTCGAGGAACATGGTCGAAAGCCTCCTCCAAGTCCACATAAAACATGTAGACTGGATGGGTAAACTCCCATGACTCCTCAAGGACCCTAGTGAGGGTAAAGAGCTGATCCAGTGTTCCACAGCCAGGACAATACCCACATTGTTCCTCCTGGATCTGAGGTTCAACCAACAATCAGACTCACTTCTCCAGTACCCCTGAATAGACTTTACCAGGGAGGCTAAGGAGAGTGATGCCCCTGTAATTGAAGCTCAGCCTCCGGGGTGAATGAGAAATTATATTTTAACGTAAAATACTCAAACTCTTGTGCAACAGCTGGTTAACCCACATAAAGAAATCTGCCTAATCATCCATCCATTCATTTTCTTTACCCGCTTATTCCATTTTGGGTCACGGGGGTCGCTGGTGCCCATGTCCAGCAATCACTGTGCGAGGGGCAGGGTACACCCTGGACGGGTCGCAAGTCCATCACAGGGCCACATAGAGACAAACGAGACAAACAACCATTCACTCTCTCACTCACACCTAGGGACAACTTAGAGTTACCAATCAGCCTAACATGCATGTTTTTGGTCTGTGGGAGGAACCTGGAGTACCAGGAGAAAACCCACGCATGCACAGAGAGAACATGCAAACTCCACCCAGAAAGGCCCCTGGACCGGGGTTTGAACCAGGGACCTGCTCGCTGAGAGGCAGCAGCTCTACCAGTTGCGCCACCGTGCTGCCCCTGCCTAATCATAATTTAATTTATTTGATTTAACTTTCACTCAGGACTGTTAAAGACCAACATGACAAATGTGAGATATCTGTTCTGTGTGGGGTTCAGTTTGTGACCCATCAGGGGGTGTAGTTGGTCCAATCTAATGAGTTCTTTACATAACGCTGCTGATTGTTGACTGACAGTGACAGCAGATGATTGTTTGCCTTTTGGAACAGTAATTGTTCTGCTTTGAATCAGCTTTCTTAGCAAACAGAACAGGAGTTACCAGCAGGCAAAGTGAAGGTTTGTTTCCTCTAAAAGGGACACAGGAACCTGGCAGAGGATAAGTACACATAAATTTAGCTTCACATCAGTGCAGGTAGTGTTTCCCTTGCAGAGACAGCAGGAGCTAAAAGGATTGTTATGAACTTCTGTCTCAGTTTGTGACGCATGGACACAAAAAAGACAAAACTATGAGGAAAGTTCCTGTTCTTTTGTTCACGTCCAGAAGTTGATTCATATGTTTTGTTCCCTGCCAATAAATCAGAGTTTTGTTTGCTGGTTCAGCTACAGGTACACGATGGACGACCTTTTCCCAATGATGAACGCCGTGAAGCTACGAGCCGAGCTGTACGATGATTGGGCCTCCCGTGTCACAGAGACTCTGGAGGCCAAACTGGAAAAGAAGAAAGGTACACGTCAATAAAACCGGGCCTGAAAGGACCAAATCTAACGTTGGATGACGTGTGCCTCATGTTGAGTGTCAGACTGTGATGAACCTGCCGTCTCGCCTCAGGTCTGCCCGTGTTTCGCTCTCTTCTCACTGAGTCAGAGTCCAAGCTGTTCCCGGACAGCGACCTGATGCGGCGCCTGCGTCTGGTTCTGCAGGACGCAGAGAAGTGCGCCTCGGTGGCGCAGCAGCTACTGAATGGGAAGAAGCAGACCAGGTGACCTCTAAGAGCTCTGCCATGCCGCCTGTCAGGTAGAGAGTTGGTATCTGCTCCCAGGATTAACGGGCTTCATGTCTTCTCTGTCAGGTATCGATGTGGAACGGGGAAGTCCCGCAGCCAGCTGACTGTGGAGGAGCTCAGCTCATTTGTGAGGCAGCTGTATAACCTCTCCTGCAGCCTCCCGCAGGCGCCCATGCTGAAGGTCAGCTTGAGAAGACAAACTGGATCTGCTGTGTAAAACTGGTGTCATGTTCTAACGAGCACTAACTAATCTGTGCGCTAAGTAGCATTCAAGCCAGATTTATATCAGTATTATATATATACAGTATTATAATACTATAGTCACAGTATTATATATATTATAGTATTATATTCATAGTATTAAATATAGTACTATAGTCACAGTATTAAATATAGCACTATATTCAAAGTGGGCAGCACGGTGGTGCAACTGGTAGAGCTGCTGCCTCTCAGCGAGCAGGTCCCTGGTTCAAACCCCGGTCCAGGGGCCTTTCTGAGTGGAGTTTGCATGTTCTCTCCGTGCATGTGTGGGTTTTCTCCGGGTACTCCGGTTTCCTCCCACAGACCAAAACATGCATGTTAGGCTGATTGGTAACTCTAAATTGTCCCTAGGTGTGAGTGAGAGAGTGAATGGTTGTTTGTCTCTATGTGTCCCTGTGATGGACTTGCGACCCGTCCAGGGTGTACCCCGCCCCTCGCACAGTGATTGCTGGACATGGGCACCAGCGACCCCCTTGACCCAAAATGGAATAAGCGGGTAAAGAAAATGGATGGATGGATGGATGGACTATATTCAAAGTATTACATGTATCATAGTATTGTATTCACAGTATTCTATATTAGTACAATATTCACAGTATTATATATATTGTATTATTATATTCACAGTATTATATATATATATATATATTAAAGTACTATATTCACTGTATTATATATATTACTGTATTATATTCACAGTATTCTATATATTATAGCATTATATTCACAGTAT